TGGCAATCCTCCTCATCGTCATTTGGTTGTGTTTCACAGCTCCCCTATGGACCATACTCAGCATGACTTACAATTGCTTCAGTGGCCTGACACAATGAGTCTGAGGCGGCTCATGAATAATCAGGAGCCAACAATGCTTTATAAGTTGAGAGATAAAGCAGAATGGCTTGATTAGTCGGCTGCTGTGTAATCATGTCCAATATTTGAGCTGTCTTCAGACATTCATGAGAGGATTCTCAAATGGGATTTGAGGAGTTTGGCCTCTATTAGCCTTTATTTACTGAAGGCAGTTTCTCTAATCACACAGGCTCAGCAGCACCCTGCTACAAACTCATGTCAGCCTGTGCTGGTATGAGCGCTTAAGGTTTGTCACTACATATTATGACACTCTGGAAAGCACGAGAATATATTATTCCAAGAAGTGAAAGCAATGTGATTGCAGTATGAAACTAGAAGTTCATGTTTTGTATTCACTTGTTGTGAAATAGGTGCAGGCTGTGATATGGAAAACGATCTAACAAGGTCAAACAGTTAAATCTTGGCTTTAAAAGAACTATTTGACATTTTTGGAAATATTCTTTCTTGCCGAGAGTTGGATGAGAAGATTTATACCACTCTTTTATCTATCTGTTAAATACAAGGCTAAAGGTAGCTGGTTAGCTTAGCGCCTGGCCAAGAATTATCCAGCCACATAACCACGGCTCTTACTTTATACACTATGCTTTTTAAAAAAAATATGAATTAAACAAAGAATATATAATGTGGCAATTAGTGAGCTCTGGAGGTGCTTGTGGGTGGATTTTGTTACCTATGGATAGAGCCAGGCTAGGTATATCCTCCGGTTTTCAGAGCCTTCATGCTAAGCTAAGCTAACTGGCTGCTGGCACTAGCTTCTATTTAGCGTACGGACATACATATGGTGCCAATCTCCTTATCGAACAAATTCTTTAAGCACATTTACACTTGGGAGCTGCACAGTACAGCCGTTATTTTCTGCTGTACTGGAACATTCGGTTATCGCTGTAATGTTCTTAATAATCCTCTCCACAACAGAAAACAACAGGGTAGCATGTGTGTTGAATTGGTGCTTACTGTTAGGTACATCGAATGTAGCCAGTGTAAACCAGCTCATATTGACTACAAAAGGTACTGGAGCAGCAACAGGGCCAAGTCAGTGTGAGGAAGAACTTTTGTGCAGCGCCAACTATTTGTCTGCCAAAGAGTGTGGAATGCATGACAGAGAGCAGCATGTACGCTCATCCAGGGAGTCGGTCCAAAGGAAGCTCGAAAACTGCGGCTCTTAAGAAGTGTTTCTACAGGTGTCACAGCCTGCAGCTTTGGTACCACAGGAAACCTTAATTTTCTACTTTTATTTCCTAACCTTTCATCTTCCCACTCGGGCTTTGAGTGTGTATATATCTGCATGGACATTTGGAAGACCACTGTCATTTTAGCACCAACTAATAGGCCTCACTTCATAATTAGTGTGACCGGGGCTAATTAGAACGTGATATATCTGAGGTAAAATATGTATTGCACATGTGGAAATTCTCATTATTTCCAGAGGGAAAAAAAGGAATTGATCAAGAGATAATGATGTCATGATAACATGTTCGCGTAAGTTTGGAAAAGAACATTTTTTCTCATAAACCTAATAAATGAATAGCTAATTGGCTATTGTATGTATTTAATGTACCCCATCATGCTGTTACGATCAGAGTTTTTACTCTTGAAATGCAAAGCTGAGCTGTGAGCATCAGCAGCAAGAGAGCGTAAAGGGCAAAAGTGTCAGTGTTACATTGTTCACGCTGAATGCATCTCTAATTGGAGCTAGTTTACTGGCGTGGCACAACAAAGTGGGTAATGTGGCTAATGTGGCTAATATTAAAATGAAATATGGTCTCTAGAAAGTTAGCCTTTTCTGAAATGGAATGTGTGAATGATTGCAAAACCAATTTATTGACCTATTTTTGGACTAATCATACTAATAAACCACAACGAGATTACATGAAACCTAAACTCGAATTATCCTGTTATATAACAGATGGGGCCCCCATTTCCATGAGTCTAAAGCTAAAGAGCCAACTTAATATTTCATGGAAAACAGCAATTATCCTGCAGGCAGAAACGGTTCACACGGCTGCTTTCAAATATGGGCCGTGTTCTCGTCACCGTTTTCAGATATGTTACGGCAGTAAGACAGAAGGCTCTGCTTATGCTCTCATTGCCATAGAAACTGGGTAGAAATGTAGCTTTCTCTGAAGATATTGTTGTAGTTTGTTTGGCAATGTAGTAGTGAGGCCGGCAGATACACGCTACGATGCGATGGGGGAGGGTTAAGAGGCTCTGAATCGGTAATGATATGATGCTGTGCTGAGAGGAGAAAACACAGCGGCGTCAGGAATGGTATGTGATGGAGAATTTTGGAGTGTAATCATAGTTATTCTATCATTTTTACTTTGAAAGTCTTTGGATTATGTTCATTTAGTTTGTTTAAATGACAATGAGTTCATTAACCAACATTTTATCCAGCAGAAACAGACAGGAGGGCTCGAATGTAGCACCTTCTGCCCGCAAGAAGGGCAATTTAAACTCTTGCAGTTAAAGCCTGTATTAAATTGTTGCTGGAACTTTTCTCCATCTACAACCAGTTCTGGAGCAACCTTTTATTAGAGCGAAGGCTTCTCTCGAAGCACTACCATTTTGTTCAACAGACATATGGGGAGGAAACCCACATGTAAATAACAACACATATAAGCACTTTGGTTGAGTTTCGTTAGGTTCAGGCCCAAAAACAACTTGGTTGGGATCAGGGAAAGACTGTGTTTTCATTTCATTCGTCCTGGTTACAATATTTAATGACTTGGATAGTAGGGGAAGGACTGCAGCTGTGATTAAAAGAAGCCAACGTTGAATGTCTGTAGGGGAATTGAACAACAGCCTCCCATGTTAATGTTCAGTGTTTTCTTTGACTCATCCATCCATCTTAACTTCCTCCCTCTGTGCACAAGCATATGTGCCACAGAGCTGAATCCTTGTCAAAAAAACGACTAAAAGCACTTTAGGGAGCCATGCTGTTGTAATGGGTGACACGTCCCTTCATGGCCGTGGGCACTGTAGTTTATTACGAGTTGATCCCACACACATCCTGCTTCTGTCGTACTGCGTTTTGGGCACAGAAAGTCTGAAATTGTTGAGACAAACTGACTGACTGGTCTTTTCATGGGATTTCTTGACAATAATAAAACAATAGAGGATGATCCCAGCTTTATCTTTAACAAAACTATTTCCAAAGATGCATTCCTATTAATAGGAATGCATCTTTGCCTTTCCAATTATTCTGAAGACGAATATTTCCCCATTTTCAAACACTTGCCTCTACTTTATTCATTAATTCTGCGCTTTAATATCGGTAGGAGCTTTAATAGAAATCTGTGTGTGGCCTCGGTGGATGTGTTGGCACAGTATGTCTGCACGTGTGCTTCTGTGTATTGTTCTTTCATGCATTTTGTACATTTTGTACTGCTTTTACAGTTACTGTGTTCAAATGTGCTTGTTTGTCCAGCTATGAATTTATGCATTTCGCTGGAATGCATTTGGACGCGATTGGTTGAGTGTGTGTGTTCTCTCGGCCAAGTAAGAGTTTAGCTGGAATTGTTCAGTGTGTGCGCGATGTCCCCTCGGGGTGTGAATTAGCTCGCGGTGTAAAGGCCATGCTTCACGCTGAGACAGAACTCTGATCAACTGTGTCGAAAAAGACTGATAATGTGTACTCCTCTTCCCGCTCTCATTATTTACATCGACTCCGGCCCTCCTCCCCATCTCCCGTTACTATTACCATCTCCTCGGCGCTCCCATCCCTCCCACCCTCTCCCGCCTCCTCGCCTTCCAGTCTCCCTGTCCTTCTCTCATTTCCGCTCTCTGGCCTTCATCCTTTCCTTTCCTCCTCTGTTCGTTAGTCTCTCCTATTCAACTTTTCAAATGTTGTCACTGCCTTTCCCCCCCCTTATCCATCTCTCTCCCCCTCACCCCCTCCCGTCTCATCTCATTGCATGCTATCCTTCTTCGCAACCTCCTCTGTGGAGAGGTGATGCTGATCAGCACTTATCCAATCTGTAAACAAATTCCTATCCAAACAACATACCTTTAGGTCTTTGGTGAATTCAAGTAATATGTACTATCTATGATATAATTCATATCATTATATTTATAATTTTGACTCCTTCGCACAATTTTTTACCTGTTTTCTGGTGAAGGTTTTTGATGAGCAACTACTTGCCAACTTTAAAAAAATACTTTTACTACTACGATTAGTCGATATACAGAAAGGTGGGGGATTGGGTGATGCACGTGTGGAGGTAGGCGGGGAGGGCCAGGCAGAGCAGGTGAGGGAAGTGGAAAAAGGTGTGTTGCTGGCTGTGGCAGTCAGGTGACTGGCAAAGGACGTAAGTCAGGGATAATGATTGGGTGGCGGATGGGTCCTTGGCAACACTCTGTGAGGAAGTATGTGGCTGAAGAGGGCAACAGATAGGCAGAACGTGACAAATTCGATGATCGAGCATTGGTTTGTTGCCTTTATTAGATGGAGGTAAAGAAAAAGTGAAGACAGGAAATGATGGGAAAGAAAGATCAGGAATGAAATGCAACAAAAGATCCCTGGCCGGACGCAAACACTGCATGTTGCATTTCATGGTCGGCAGCTCGACCTCTGGATAATGTAAAGGATCTGTGGTTGCAGCCCTGCAGTTTTTCATATGTTCGGCTCTTCTCTCCTCGCTTCTGGGAGTGTATGCTCCTTTGGTTCACATTCGTCCTGCACCCCTCCCCCCCCCCAAACACACACTTACGCACAGGCACAAACACACAGTAATAGCTCTCTGGCTTTTCCCTCTACTCCTGCTCACATCAGCTCATCCTCAGTTTCAGTTTTAGAGAAAGGAGGGAGGGAGAGGGAGAGGGAGGGAGGGAGAGAGAGAGAGAGAGAGAGAGAGAGAGAGAGAGAGAAATATGCGCGTGCTCCCTCCGTCGCTGCCGCTTCAGAGGAGAGTAGCCGCTTATTCAGCTGCTGGATGAGGGACGGAACGGAGGGAACAATGAGCAGATACCGGGGATGAGTGAATGAATGAATGAACGTATCCCGACCTGGGCTTCTTTCACAGTACCGAACCGGTGAGAAGACACAAACAACATGTGTATTACTCTTGTTATTATTATTATCTATGTAATTATGCATTTATTATGATTGTTGTGCTCTCTTATTGATATGTGTGAACCGTGCGTAAGACGGAGACAGTCGGAGTGTGTAAGAAGTGTACACATGTGCGCTCACTTTGACGGTCCAGTTAACTGCAGCGGATCGGTGCACGGATGCGTTAACAGGGAGCACGGAACCTGTCGGGGTGAGATGAGGCGGCGGGTGATTAAGTGGCTGTCAGGGAGAGGTCGCGGAGGAATCTACTGGACGTGATGGGGGGGGGGTCTCTCTCAGGTGCGTGCGACGCCGCAGAGCCTTGACCTGTCCGGGAGACGCCTTCAGTACCGCTCCAATTACGCATTTACCCTGCGCACAGTCTCCATCGGAGAGCCTCGCTGGAGAACGGCGAGTGACATTTCCCCCAAAGCTGCAGGTGCATTACCCTGCCGAGCGGGGTTGTGGACCGCGCAGGCTGTGATGCCAGTGGCCGGGGAGGGTGGATGAGATTAAGGTCAGGGATAGTGAACGCATCCGGGTCTGGAGGGACTGCGCTGGGTCAGGGTGCACGAGAGGAATAGATAGGCACTAGAGGGGGAAATTGCAGCCAAATAGCGACATGTAATTATGAGAAGTTGATGCTCATGAAGGAAATGACGGTGGGGCGGGATTAACGATGATGATGAAATTGATTAAATTGACTAAATTGAAATGCACAATAGCAGTTTTTCTTTATTTCATACAGTTTAAAACTAGAGGTAGGGATCATTATGTTTAAATACTTGTTTAAGAAATATATTCGTGCTGGTCATAATGATGATGATGAGTGTAGACTGGTGGTGATGATGGTAGTGTTATTGGCTGATATTTTAATGGTTTTTATTATTACCACATTTTCGTCATTTAGTATTACTCTAAATCTGTCTACATTAGTAGTGTCAGCCATCTGTAAAGCACTCTGAACCTGTGGGCAGAGTGCTTTACAAATGAAGTTGTACTGATTGATTGATATTGGTGGTATGCTGGTGGTGGTGGTGATGATGAGGAGGAGGAACAGAGAGATGCTGATGCTGGTGAAGATGATAAAAATGTCTGTGAGGGGAGTTTTGATGATCATGATGATGACGACGTCAATGATGATGATGATGAGGAGGAGCAGAGCGATGATGCTGGTGATGATAATTGAAATGGTTGTGATGGGAGCTTTGATGATGATGATTATGGCTTAATCAAGGGCAGCATGATGATGAAAATGGTGGCATATTTGATGATGATGATGGTGGCGTCTTATGGCAGCATGATGATGGTGATGAGGACTTTTTCCATCAAGGATAAATAATTAACGTAAAGATATGTCGCCCTCTCAATAATTCAAAACACCCAAGCTGTCTAAAGAAGTGTAGGCTATAGATTCATTTGCATATCTCAAACCGTTTTTCAGCGTCCATCAGCAACAATATGTCTTTGTGTTAAGCAGCTTTGATGCCGTCTAGTGTCTGCTACTACCCGGTGGGCTTTTACTGACTGCAATATCTGCAAGGTGGTGGGTGATAGAACATTTTGGACAATGCAGACGTGCAAAGATGTTTTCAGCAAGCAAAAGGTCAAAAAATGTATTTCGATGTGTCCTGGCAGCAAGGTTGCATGATTTAATGATTAAAGGAAAAATAAAAGGTCAGCTTCTTGAGTTAAGTCTTGGTTTCTAGGCCATGACACAGAAACAACTTCTCGAGACCAGATGAAGCTGTCTTTGAGACTCTGAGTACATTTCCATTACCACCAGAGTTTAAACTTATAAAAAAAACAAAAGTGTTCTCAACTAACTTAGACAGAGCAGCAGTATGTGTTGGGCTTTCCTGCCACCCATGTTGATTTTGTTCCATCCATGCAGTTGTTTATCCTGGGTGAGCTGTGTCTGTAAATGACTGCAAGTCCAGAGAAACCAGGTGTTTAGACATAAAACCACATGCATTTATTCATTATTTTGTCAGAGGCCTAATCCTAGAAACGTCAACATTGATTTGGTCAGGATGTCACATTTATAGTTTACAACTAGGTGTTAGTGCTTTGCGTTTGTGAATAATGCGTGCTGCCTCCGTATACCTGCTATGTCTGTGTGTTTGTGCTGGTGCCAAAAATATCCCGGACTTACTCGCTTTATGTCTGTCGCTTCCTTTCCTGTGACTGTGTCCTCAACTAATCCATTAATGACTTGAACAACACACTGACTTGCCCGCTGGAGAAGGTGGTAACCCACATCTTGGCTTCTATTCTTCTCCATGTTAATCTGGTTATGCGTATCGCTGGCACCGCTCTCCGGTTACTTGAGTTGTACCAACACTGACCCCTGGGATCCCGGTACTTTAGCGTGTCTGGCTGGGAGGGGACAGGAAAGTCCCCGTGGTCATAATCCTCTTCGCTCCTGTGTGTGTGTGTGTTTGTGTGTGTGTGTGTTAAGCTGTTAGTGCTGTCAGTGGGGGGTTAGGATAGATGCCTTGTGTTCTGAATGGTGTCAGGAGGAAGATGATGTTGACAATGACTGGGAAGTAGAAAAAGAAGAAATAAAAAAGAGGAAGAAGAACGAGTCATGTAGCCAGGAAGCCTCTATAAAGGTGACCAGAGGAGAAATAACATATGCTATCATTTATATGATCGTTTTTTATTGAATGAAACAGATCAACCTACAAATATTTAAACAGTAACCAATTATTTTGAATGGCCCCCGTATGGCCTCCAGGCCTGAAACAGCTCCTGATGGCGATGCCCTGATTGATTTCCAAAAGTGTTTTCACATTTATCAGATATTGTCCGTTGCCAGCATGGCGCCCCAAAGTGTTCAATATTAAATACATTTAAAAAGACATTTGAAATAAATATCACCTGATTGGCTGGAAAGTGAGAGGGTGATGAAATCCATTCTCATATGTCATTATGAAATGATGATATAAAAGTTTGATCGGGAGAAAAATGATTGTTGTGAAATAAAAACAAAAAGAGCATTTTTGGATTTTCTTTTATAATGAACTAAAACTAATTGAGTTGAGATTCAATCATTTATAAAGAGTTTTCTGAAATATTGGTTTGTTTATATATACAATGTATCATTGTTATAACTTATATCATAATAACTTTTTATTCATTTAGTACTAAATACTTTGGCGCTTGATGCTTGCAATGCGATACAGCCGGTTTTTCCCCATGCGTTTCCCCCAAAGGGATCATTAAACTTTCAGTTCTTATCTCAAGCTTTCTACCTAACTGACTCACCAACTTCATTTTAATTTAGTTTTTCCTTGTGTTCGAATAGTGGCCTGGATCTAAATTTTAAAAAGCCCACTCCATCTCCGTCATGTGTTTGGACTGCCACTCTGGTACGGAATGATTTCGAGAGGCATTTTAATCTTACTGCAGCCTAACCGGGAGTTACCCCCTCGAGGCCTACAGGTTGATTAATTAAGTGGCTGTAACAAATGAATGTGGGGACAGTGATATATCGCAGTGTTCGTCTCTTCTCTGGCTGTGGCACAAAGTCGTTGGCCGATCCCGTTTCGTTTTATTCAGTGTTTGACATTCATGGAAAGTGCCCAATATGCTGCCTGCTCTGCCCAAACGCCACGTCACATATTGGCACCTCAACACTTGCTGGACTAGAGTCTATACTGTGAATGAAAGCTAAGGTTGTGCTGATCCTCTGGAACTAGTCTGTGAAACCGCAAACAGTACAGTCCGTGCAGACATTTGTTACATACTGTATATAACATGACCTAACATCTGATATTTTATATTATTTTATAACACTTGATATAAGAGAAGAGTTCAAATGTGTTTAACACAATGTGAAAACAATCAATAATCACTTACTCAGAGGGCAGGAACAATATGGGCTTCACATTTATCCTGAATGTAGCACCTTCTGAGTTAAAAAAAACACACACAAAAAACAATAAAGTTGAGTAGTGCCAATCCAATATCACCCTGATTTCTCTCATGGGGCCAAACAGAATCGCCGGGCCTCTCACATCATTCATTCCACTCAGTTTCCAATCTCTCCCAAAGCATCACTTTAGCCATTCATTTGACAGGTTTATTGCCAGATGGTGTCATTTCCAAGCTGGGTGGCAGTTCCTGATGTACCAACGGTGATCCCACTTGCACGGCGGACTGATTTGGCCCTCACACTCGTGTCTTTAGTCCTTGAGAGGTAAAGTTGCAAATGATGAAATGAGTCGTTTTTAGCTTGAAGCACTGACTGCTGCGTGCACCATTTCTGCTTACTCCTCATATTGACCAAACCAGAGAGGACTGTGGGATCTTGCAGTATTACTCTCCTCTCTGTATTTTTTTTCCCACCACCTAGAAGTAGTAAATGCATTGTATTTTAACTCGCTCCATTTGCCACACGTTCAAGCTCATACTAAAAGCCTCTTGAAAAGTGCATTTGTATTCAACAGAGGGTGAAGTTATTTCCTCCAGACATAAAGCCTATTTGTTCCTATCACCTTTTTGGATTCATTAGATTAGATCGTAACGCTCCAGATCTCATGTATATATGTTTATGAATGAGAGGGCAGGGCTGACTGTGGTTGCAGAGAGAGTGGCGCTAAAGGAGAAATCCACTTTACTATCTTTAGTGCAGAGGCATTTATTATGTATTTTACTTATGCCCGGCAAGTGGCAAATGTAGATCATCACTAACTGTAGTACATGATGTAGGTGGAGAAAAGGTAAGTGCACCAAAAGAAAAAAGCGAACTGCTCGTGTCCTATAGAAAATGAAAAGGAGCACACTTCCAGGGGGTGTGTACTGAATGTGGATTTCTTTCCTGAGCCTAAGCCTGTGTAACTTTTTCTGAACAACAGCTGCTGTCGCTTCAACTACATGATAATAGTGTAGGCTGAAACCTAGCATTAAGAAGAGTCCTTCAGTCAGCAAATAAAATTGATTCAGCAATATATATCTAAAGTTTGCTTACATTAGC